GGCAGGGACACCAGGTGTTCAATCCCTTTCTTCCGGAACAGCTCCTTGAACTCGTCTGAGAAGAACTCCAGAGCTCTGTCCGTTTGCCAGCTCTTCAGTTTAAGTCCCGATTGTCGTTCAGCTCGCTTCATCCACGCGATGAAGCATTCGAAGGCGAGCGACCTGCAGTCGGTGTTGACAGCCCAGACGTAGCGGGTACTGGCGTCGATGAAGGTCACCGTGTAGTATTCGCCATCGAGCCCTTCCCGCGTCAGGCACATGAAGTCGCTGTAAACCTTGTCGAGCGGCTTGTAACGTTCGTAACCGGGCGGTAGCTCGGGGAAGGGCTTGTGGGCGAGCGATGCGGTAGGACACACTGTGCAGGTCGGGTCGTCGGAGTCTGCGGTAAGGAATCCTCCGCGTGGAAGGAGTAGCGCTTCGCTGTCGAGGACGCCAGCCTTCAGTGAGTTCTTAAGTGTTGTGTGAGAGGGATGCCCGAGCCGCTGATGCCAGATTTCTGGTTTTGCACGGTAGCCGACCGTTTTCTGATAATATTTTTGGCGTGCTGCTTCGTCGTTTGCCCCCCCTTCAGGTCCTGCATCGGCGGCGTTGTCGGCGTCGGCGGCGAACGCGCGAATTGCATTTTGTTCCAAAAGCGCGTGTGGAATACCGATGATGTCGTCGGTGTCGCCGGCGTCGACTTGGTCTCCGGTGACAAGCAGGCACCAATCAGGCCAGTCGCGGACTGGGAGTCCCTTCATGGGGATGCGATAGTAGCTGAATTCGGCTCCGATGACCTCAATTTCTTGTGGTCCTTGTTCTGGTGGCTCCGGTTCCTCGGTAGGTGCTGGCAGTTCCGCTACTTCGCTGAAGAGTTCGTAAGTTACTTCCTGCTCCTCTGATTCTTCTTCCATTGGTTCCGGTGTGTCAGGGGCGTACTGGTCTGGAAGAGGAGGGCCACCCCAGCTGGTACCTCGTGTTGCCCAGTAAGGATCGAACTCCGCTGTTTCGGCTGAAGGGAGTCCCGGAGCTTCGGGATATGGAGGGGCCGCCTGCCCCAATTCCGATTCGCCTGCGGGGGTGCCCCAGCCGCCAAGATTGTTTTTGGCGCCCCAGCCAACTCCTTCGCCCCAACCGTCTTCTGTGCTCCAACCACCTTCGGCGGCACCGCTTGCTTCTGTTGCCGAGATGGTGTCGCGGTCTCCTGCAGCTGCCTCCTCTGGTGTTAGAATTTCTCCCAGGGGACCGAGTGCAGGGCCAGGACTGACTGGTTCGGTTCCGACCTTCTCTTTTCCTTTGGCGGATTGTTTCGCAGATGCTGACGTCCCGCTGTCTTCTTCCATTGATGCAGGTCCGGTCTCAGCCGGGTTGGAGGTCGAGGCTGACGGGACGGTGCGCAGTCGCAGGAGGCCATCCGAGGCGGGTCGCTCGAGATCCATCTCTGTGGGATGCGACCAGGTTGGAGCTTCTGCAGTGGTTGTCTTCAACAGCAAAGTGCGGTGAGAGTCTCCTGAAGTGCCTTGAGCTGAGAACTGCAGCACGAAGACCCCGTCATTGTCCACGGCCTTGCCGATGTAAGTGTTGCCGTAGAAGAGTTCGAAGGTCTTCTCCTTGCATTTGCTTCGAATGTCAACTCCGCACCGCATTAGCTGAGCCGAGGAAAGCAGGTTGTACCGCAGATCTGGAGCGACGAGCACGTCGCCGATGTGAATCGTGAAATGTGTGTCGTCAGCTTCAAGGAAGATCTCACCGATGTCGTATGCTTTAAGTGTGCCGTCGTTTGCCACTGTGATCTCGCAGGGTCGTCGCATGCGTTTGGAGTTGGTGATGAATGTTGGTGATCCCACCATGTGTTGTCCGCAGCAACTGTCCAGGTACCAGGTGTTGATGTTCTCGCGGCTTTGCCTCGCGATGTTGGCGATTTTCGGCGTGACCACGCGATCTCTTTCGCCGGTGTATGGCGAAAGGGAGAAGTACCGGTTTGCCGCTATGCTGGGAGGCGATTCTGGTGTCGGCGGCGGCAGCTCGAAATCAGGTGGGTGCCTTTGTGGTGAGTTGGTCCAGGAAGGGGCAGTGGGATCGTTGTCTTGTCTTGGTGAGACAGGTTTGGTGGGATCGTAGAACGCGAATGTTACTCGATCATAGTATCGGTAACCTCTGTTACGACGAGCCATGCAGCTCATGATTGTCCCCTTGCCCTTGTCCTTGGTCGTAATGCGCGCAGGTGTTTGTGACGTGCTTGCGACGGAGGGAGGCGAGATTGTGGTTGTTGTGGCGGAGGTCGAGGGAGCGGATGACTGATGGTTGTAAGGGTTGTTGCGCCTTTCGTCGGCGGCCTTTCGCTTGTAGCACCGGTCGATTGTGTGGCCGGGCTTTTTGCAGTATTTGCAGAAAGTCCCCTTCTTTCCGTGCTGCTCCCCTTCAGATGCTCCGACGTAGAAGACTAACTTTTCCCGCTTTGTGTTCTTCTCGTTGTACAGGTCGATCTCCTTTTGTTCGGAGAGGAGCGTGGCGCACGGAGCCGATTCGGAAACAGTTGCTCGTGCGCGGAGCAAGGATTGGCATTGACGCCAGTCGGGACCAAGACCGGAAAGAACCATTGAGACGAACATGTCTTCAGGAACGGATCCGCCGCACTTCTTGATGTGGTCGCGCAGATTGCGGCATCGGTTGATATATGGTCCTGCTTTCTCTCCTTGATGCATTTTAACCGATGTCAGCTGGCTGAGCAGGCGACTCATAGTGACTGGATCTGTTGCCATGTATGAGTTGCGCAGGTGCTCCCAAGAGGCGTACGCGGGCGCCCACTTTGATTTGTAGGAGCGAATGCCGAGCTGTTCTTCGGGGGAGAGATTCCAGAGCAGAGTGGTGTACACGAGAAGAGATTCGTGGTAATACTGGTTCTTCTCTTGGATGGTGCCTTCCGTTGGAAACGGTAGGCTTCCGTCGTAGTACATCCAGATTTGCGCAGTTGTCGCGAGGAGCTCAAACTCGAAGCTCCAAGTGTAGAAGTCCTTTCCGTTGAAAGGAACTGATGTTTTCAACTTTGAGGTCAGAACAAATTTTGTCTGCATTGTTGCAATTGTATCTGAATGTGCGCGTTGTTGACTGTCTTGCGCAGGAGCTGAAGCTTGACGGTTGTCAAACGTGAATGACCTCTCGGAGTTGACGCGGCGGTCTTCTCCTGGGAGAGGGAGTCCAGCAACTCCACGTGCATAGCTTGAGCCATCGACGCTCATTGCTTGATGGCTTTCAAGGGCGTTGATGCGGGCGACCAGCTGCTCAACGAGAGCGGCGCTGACGGAGGTCACCGCATATGGTGCAGTGGGTGTTGCTGGTGGTGGGCCCGGAGAGTCTGCAGTGGCTTTTCCTTCTGGAGCCATAGTGATGCAGAGTCCTTGATGTTGTAGTGAGTAATTTATATGAAGGTTGTTCTGGTAAGAACAGGAACTTGACAGGCCTTATAATCCACTCTAGCTCTCATACCATGCTGATATAACTGAAGGATCGAAGTGGATAGGATAAAGTTTGCCGAGTGTAAAAGAGAACTGTGAAGTCTCTGTAATGACCTTGTTGATTAATTGAAAGAGAACAAGATGATTATAAGATAGGAGTACAAGGATATAAATAGCATTCCTAGCTAGCCATGTACTCTGAGGGGTACATTCCCTTATTTAACTGAATTGCGTTGCTACAGTAACCCACGACTATTGCTATTCTAGACAGTTACCATGTTCCACTTCGTAACTGCCTTGTGCGGTTACTGGGCAGTCAAGGGTCACGACTGTTGATTGTCTTCGACCGTTGACCTTCGGGTGACCCTCCAACTTCCGCGTGCTCTATATGAGCTATTGCGGTACTAGTACAGGCGTACACTTCGTTATGGAGTGACGCGAGAGTGGGGAACTTTCGGGAATGTTTATAATAACCTTTCGGTTATTCCAACAGTTGGGGAGCGCTCTATGCTAAAAAAAAGAGAAGTGCCTAAGGGGGGCGAAATGGGTCTCCTAGAAGCCATGACGAGCGAAGATCTGGGTGGACAGAAGGGTTACCCTCCTGATCAAAAACGAAAAAGCGAAGTCGGGTGGCCAGCTTAAAACCGGAGTCTCATAGGTTTCAAAGTTAGGAAGGTTGGTTGGGAAAAGAGCCGCAACTGGCTCGCGAACTAGGGTGGGTGCCGAAATTGGAAGCCACAGGTCGCTGAGTGATATACTGTCGCGAGGGTTACCAGATCCCAAATGCAACTCGTGAACCCCTTCGTAAATAACTTCGGATTTACAGCAACTTCATTGGGCGAAATCGTCACTGCTGTCGTCGTTGCTAGTACAGTGATTTCGGGTCGTCAAAATCGTTCCCACACTTCACGAAGTTGACTGTCATCTACCAAATAACCCCCAACCAAAGTTAGGAAGGTTGAGGCAGTTTTGGGCTGTTTGGGACTCCGGTTTTAAGACGAGAGGCCGAGCGTAATTGTTTCTTAAAGCAAGGGTGCAGATTCCTGGGGGTGGTTTTTGGGGGCATTGTGAGTGTACACCCTCCGACGCAGGCTGATTCGCTGGCGAAATGTGTAGGGGTACGTGAAGCTGGTGCGAGTGTTTCAAACTTGGCTGACGAATCCAACCTATCTCGCACAAAGTTGAGTTGGAGAGAACACAGGGAAAGGGCGGAAATGTGGCCGCGGGAGTTGCGACCAAGTGCGCGCTCTGCTATGTTACCGTCAATCTGATAAACCAACTCTACTCCTTCCAGAACTTGCTTCTAGCTAGACAGGCTAGTGAGGGGCCATTTCGCTACTTACTAATCTAACCAGAGCGCCACGCTCGCGACTGTCGAATGGTAAAGTCAGCGGACCTCGCGACTGTCGAAGGTTTAGGACTGTGTCATCGCGAACAAATAGCGACGTCGCTGCTAGATCGCACAACGCCGTCGAGAGAACGGCGCGTCGGGTGACCCGTCTCCGCAGCCTCTTCCCCGTGTCGCAATGTCCCATTATGTGAACCCCTACTCGCCGGGTTTAACCCATGTCATCGGTTTGAGCCACCCCGGTAAACTTGTCCGCGCCCTGCTTCGCGCAGTTGCCGTGCAACCTCCATTGCCGATGCCATCTGGCAGTGCATCGGCGAATCGCCGCCTCGCCTCGCGCATTTGCGGCCTCGCCGCCACATCGCCGCCTCATCGCCGTCACATCGCCGCCTCATCGCCGCCACATCGCCGCCTCATCGCCGTCACATCGCCGCCTTATCGCCGCCACATCGCCGCCTCGCCGCATCACCTCCTCATCGCAGTGACATCGCCGCCACGCCTCCTCAGCAAGTGATCGTCTCCCCATCGCCGCCCGAAAGCCTCGCCTCCTCCTCTTCGACGCCTGCCACATCACCGCCTCCGGGGAAGAACCTGGAGATGCTTCTTTTGTCCCCATTCAGGTCCCCGTCCTCCTCTCTACGCAGCGTTTCCCAAGTCCTCCTCTCTCCCACTCTGGCCCACTCTTTCCCCCCTGTCCTCCACTACCCTGTCCTCCTCTCTCCCCCTTGTTCTCCTCTCCGACGGCTCCATGTCCTCTCTCCAACGGCATCTCGTCTCATATGCCCGATGTCTCACTCTCCTGATTCCCCCTCTCTCCCAGCCTCGTTTACTCTTTCTGCTGTTGCTGCCGCATGCCGCAACTACGTGAGGAATGGGAAGGGACGACGCAGGAGCGCAATGCGGCGGGGATAGAAGAACCAGGCGATCATCTATGACATCGAGGTGAGTCACCCCACTCTCACCCACTCACACTCACACACACTCCACACCACACCACAGCTAACCGCACTAATCGCCGCAATCATCTATGACGTCGTGGTGAGTGAAACTGTGAGGCCACTGTCACACACACACGCTGTTACCACAGCTCTCACTTCCATCTCCCTCCTCCCCACTCACTCACTCTCCCAGCCACTTCACCACCCTCTCCTCCCTCTCTCACACCTCCCGCCCCTGCTCCATTCTAGGTGGAAGGCGTGGGCGCGAGGCGGTGCAGAGCGGTGCAGGAGGGTGCCGCCGGGAATGCACGTGAGTGAGGACGGGCAGACGGGGACCCCTTGTCCCCCCGGCACGTTCAGTGAGGGCGGGAAGGGCCGTTGCACGCCCTGCTCTACCAACACCTCCAACCCCTTCCCCGAGGTGCTGCAGTCCTTCCTCACCAACACAACTGCTCACATGCATGGGCGCATGGGGTTGGGCGCATGGGTTGGATGGGCGCATGGGGGGGATGGGCGCATGGGGGGGATGGGCGCATGGGGGGGCTGTGCGCATGGTGATGGGCACATAGGATGCCCGCATGGGGGGGTTGGGCGCATGGGGTTGGGAGAATGGGGATGAGAGAATGTGTTCTTGCTGCCATGACTCGAGAGATCTGCAGGCATGCTGGCCACAGCGGTGTCCACCACATGCCCACTCAACCCACCTCCACCACGGACCTCCCTCCTGTGTGTTTTGCTGCTGCATGGCACTTCCCTTCATGGCATGGCATGGCATGACATGACATGGGATGGCATGGTGGCACGCATGGCAGGGAGCGGAATGGTCACTGCTGATCGGTATGGCTCGAACACCACGTCATTGCCAGGAAGCAGTGAGTGCTTCCTGGCTGATGCATGAGTGCCCCCTTATCTCCCCCCTGCCCTCCTCTCTCGGAGGTGTCCTCCTCTCCCCCCTCTGTCCTCTCTCTCATTCATCGCACCCTACTTGCTGTTTCTTCCGTTGCGACGCACATGTTTCCGCCATGTTTCACTCTCATCCCGTCCTCCCCTCTCGCATCCCCTCTCCCCTCTCTCTCTCATGTTGCCGGCACCTGAGCCATCTAATGCCCGCAGCTCCTTCTGGTTGCATTTTCTCCCCTCCTCGCTTTCCCACGCCTCCACATCCCCTGTAACTACAACCACACCACAACGTCTCCCCTCACCCTTTCCCCTCTCCCGCATTCCTTCATCTCCTCCCCCCCCACCCCTCGCCAGGCCTTCACAATCGCCAACGAGCGGCTGCTCGACCTGACCCCAGACCAGGTGAACCTGCACGGGGGAGCAGTGACCCTAGGCCACACCATAGGCGCATCAGGGGCGCGTGTGCTCATGTCGCTGCTCTCCTGCCTCGCTGCCATGGGTTTGAAGCGCGGCGTCAGCGATGTGCATCGGTGGCGGCAGTGCCACGGCAGTGGTGGTGGGGCACAGGCCGGGGCACTGGAAGCAGCAGGAGGTGTAGGCCAAGGAGTGAAGCGCCGTGCGCTGATGGTGTGGCCTGGTGGCGTGGAATGGGGTAGTGGTGTGGGCTGTCGGTGTGGTGTCGAGTCTTAGCTGCAGGCTCTAGGCATAGAGCTGTGTTTACGTCGGCTGTTGTGTGTTGAGAGGTTGTGGCGACTGATTCTGAACCCGGGTTGTACAATAGTCGATGTTTTGCCGCATCTAGCACTTCTGTAGGTGTGTAGCATGGAGGGATGCTATTAGAATGTATAATTATATTGAACAAACTCAACCAGAATGACAAGGGCCAAATCACCATTGTTGAATCCATACTGAAAGGTTCTACGGTACCAAAGAATGGAACAAAGCAGTTCAGAGGTAAGGCAGGTCCCGTACATGCAAGTACGGTAGTCGGCAATTTTCACATGCAGGAATCTCCTGGATCCCGTTCCCCTGTGCAGCTCCCTCACTTCCTTACCCTCAGCCACATGCTGCCGTGCTCCATCCTGCATGAATAACCCTTCCACAACCAGAATTTACATGGGAACTGGGCCCTTCCTCATCCACCTCCCCCTTACCACTCACGCCCTTCTCCCCATGCGGTTGATGCTCAACATGACCACACTGCACTAGAGCAATCATCCTTGTCAGAACACCAGCATCAATGACAGCAGCCATCAACAAATCACACCATCAAGAGCCATGCCATAATACAACATTATGCCATGCCATGGCACACTACACCACACCACGCCACGCCACACCAGGCCATGTCGCCCTGCGCCATCTCACGCCACACCTCACCACATCACGCCAAACCGCGGGCTCAGTCGAGCGCCCAGGGTTAGCGCGGATCATATGTGAGGAAGAAGAGCAGCGCCACGTCCACGCGAACCACGACCACTGCGGGATGTCCCCCAGAAAGAACGGCTGCAGCCGCCGCTGGCTGCGCAGAAACGAGCGCTTCTCGTGCTCGATTTAGGACAGGGCAGAGAGGGGGGATAGGATAGGGAAAAGAGAGAGGGGTGGAGACATGGCAGAGTGAGGGGATAGGACAGGGCGGAGAGGGGGGATAGAACAGGGCGGAGAGAGGGGATAGGACAGGGCGGAGAGTGGGTGATAGGACAGGGCAGGGAGGGGGGGATAGGACAGGGCGGAGAGGGGGGGATAGGACAGGGCGGAGAGAGGGGATAGGACAGGGCGGAGAGGGGGGGATAGGACAAGGCGGAGAGGGGGGGATAGGACAGGGCGGAGAGGGGGGGATAGGACAGGGCAGAGAGGGGGGGATAGGACAGGGCGGAGAGAGGGGATAGGACAGGGCGGAGAGGGGGGGATAGGAAGCGGAGAGGAGTTGGGACGGAGAGGGGAGAGAGGACCGGGAAGGGGGGTAGGACAGAGGTGGGAGATAGAACAGGGAAGGGAGACAGAACAAGGAGGGGAGTTAGGAATGAGAGGAGAGGACAGGGACAGAGAGGGAATATATGCCACGGAGGGTGGATAAAAACAGGTGCGGAACACAGGAGAAGGGGGGGGAGAGATCTGGCCGTCATCTGCGACCCCCTTCTCCCCCCTGGCCACGCGCACCTGGTAGAGCAGCAGCTTCTCCGCTGTCCAGCGCAGGTAGATCTGCGCGTTCTCCCGCTGGCGACGGCGCGCAAGGACGGTGCGGTGCTTGAGCGCGGGCGTGGCGCAGTCTAAGACGATGAGCGGGCGGACGCGCAGGAAGAGCAGCTTGCACACGCGCCGCAGGAAGCCCAGCACGTGCGCGCCCGGCAGCAGCTCTCCGCGCATGGCCTTGAGAAGCTGCAGTACCCAGATGCTCGCGTCTGTCCATGTGTCGCCGCGGGGGGATCGGGGCGGGAAGAGGCGTGATGGGGAAGGCGCATGGTTAGAACAGGCAACTGAGCCATTGATGCGGAACGGAGAGAGGGGCGCGTGCCGAAATGTGCATCAATGCTGCAATGAACAGTTCGATGTTACTCTACCTCAACGGCGCGACGCCGAGGGGAAGGGCGTTGCGATGCCGAAGGGAGAAGCGAGTCACTGCGGGGGCGAGGGGAGAGGCGCCGCGATGGTGGGAAGGGAGGCGATTCGCTGAGGAAGAGCGTCCCGGGGGTGGATAGAGCGCATGTAGGTCTGAGCGCGGAGCAAGGGAGAGAGCGGTGCTGGTTGCAAAGGCGAGCAACCGAGAAACTGTCGAATGGACAGCGGAGACGAAATGTGAAAACTACGTGTTCCGCGCGATTTGTGTGTGCTCGAAGTCCTCCGCCCGATACGAAAGGCGCGTGCTGCGTGCGCCGTCGCGGCGAACTGCGCGCCTAAGTTGCACTGTGATGTCGCGGGCGTAAAACGCATCCATTGCGGGCGAGATAAACAACGGGCGGGCGCGGTAGATTCAGTGGCGTAACCCTAAGCCTCGCTTTTGACGACGGCCTATCTGTGCTACTCTCGCTGTCTGGTTTATCGATTGCGTGCACCAATGCTCTGTTGTTGGCGGTGCGCTGGAGTTGTGGTTGCTAGCAATATGTGTCAGGGTACGAGAGTCGAGCTTGTCAGAGTTCACATACAGCCTGGTTGTGACTCAAGTTCCCAACTCCCATTTGGCCCATCGCAATCGACGAGAGGGGAGAGACAACCCGCGCAAGTCCGCCAACTCTGAAGTTTGTTTCGCGTCGGACTCCCCAGACAAACACGGTAACCACGTGGAGGCAAGTGATAAACCTTTGCCTCCACCCCCCTCCAAAGTGCACCCCTTGCTTTAACTGATTGTTTCTTCCTGCGCCAGAGGAAAATTTTGAAAGCTAGGAGGAATTGTGCCAAGATGAATTGGAGCGTGTCGAAACGGGAGGAGGGTCCCAGTTCCCCAGGTCTAAGCTCGGGCAGTCGGGGTGAAAGAGAAATGTGTACGGGCGCCACCACTCGTGGAACGCGATCAATTCTGCTCAAGCAAACCGTTTGGCATCCATATGTATAGCACTAAAAGCGTGTGTAACACACCACACCACTCAACATCCACTTCGTAGTCAAGTGACCTACTAAGGACGCGTCACCTGAAGCGGATCGGCCGAAGATCGGCCGATCCGCACCAATCGTCATTTCGAGCCTCGGTCTGGAAGAGATCGGTGCCCATGGCTGCGCAACTACGGCGCACCGATATACAGGTGACAGGTTCGGTAAGGCAGGGTTCGAGGTTGTGGTACACCCAATCTGCGAAAACAACTCTGTTGTCGTGCGCGAATTCGCACAGAAAACCCCACTGTTTGTGACGTCGTGCAGTTACAATGCAACTACGAGCGAAGACAATCGATCTTGACTGTCACTCGTGGCTCGAAATTCCACACTACGCCACCCAATCTCACGATCGATGTGTGCTCTTCGATCGGGGCTCCAGTAGGTGACAGGATCGCGTGCACATGTTTACTGTACATTCGTAAACTCTGGCGACGTTGGTTACCTTGTTGATTACGACGAAAAGTTCTACACCCCGCGCGCAAAACCGAACTTCCAGCCGATCGATCCGCTTCAGGTGACGCGTCCTAAAATGAATTATGGTTGGGAACGCGTCTCACCAAACTTCTCGATGGTGATTCGCTAAGGTTTGCGAATCGCGATGGCGACTGCGCCGGGCATGGGAACTCCGCTTCAGCCAACCCATATCCACCATAATCCGCCCTCTCACGCCATACACCCACGCCTTTTTCCTTCCCAACACCAGTCCCACATTTCGAAGCTCTCACTCGCTTCCAACTCCCTGCATTTCGCTAGCAACTAGTATTTATCATGGCGCGCCTGCTTACTGCTCTCGCTCTCCTGCTTGCCGTCACCGTCACTCTCGCATCATTCGTTTCTACTACTGCTGCTCGATCTATTCAGCTTCGTGGAAATGGGATCGATGGTAAGTCGCCTGCGATGATGACTGCCAATGATTTCCGTCAATGGTAACGTGCATTCCGAGAAGCGAGAGACGTTGGCTCCATGTTATCATGGTAATTCGCAGACCATTGCGATTGTAAATCGCAGACCATTGCGATGGTAAGTCGCTGACCCGTGCGATTGCGACGCGGCGCATCTCGAGAAATGAGCACGTCCTCGATGCTTGTCTATAAGCGGCGTGAAACGACAATGAAAGGCGCTCGCGTCACATGCACACGTGGCTGCTTCCTTACTTGCGCTGCCAACCAGCCGACTTTTGGGTTTACTCAAAAGACAATGAATGGCGCTCCCGTCCTACTTGCACATGCTGCTTCCTCACTTGCGCTGCCCCCCTCTCCCAACCTCCCCCACCTCTCCTCTCACCTTGCCAAGCGGCAACTGCACCACTTGCCACTTGCTAGTACTGTACTCCAGCCATTTACGCTTAAGAGTGAACAATCCGACGAGAATACTGTTGAAGGTGGTTGGCTAACCATGACCTAGAACGACCTAACGCGATCTACATCGACCTAAGAAGAATTCGGTTTGACGAGCTATGACTAAGGGAAAGCGAGGACCTAAGAAGAAGAGGAGCTACCTATGTTGGGACGGTGGAAGGAGAAACACGGTAGCGGCGCGACCTGCAGTGGGAATCGAAGAGGAGGGGAAGTGTGCAGAAATGGAGAAGAAAACAGCTGAAATGTCGAGATTCCAAGCGACGTGAAGAGAAGTCACGCCGGGTCAAAGGCGCGTCCAAGGAAGTCTGATTCGAACTCGAGGCGCGTTCGGTGCATGGTTGGATTTGGAAATTGAGCCGAGTACAACTCAGCTCGAAATTAGGCGCGGCGCGAGGGCGAAATCAGAAATCCTTTTGCTTATAACTTGCTTTGTGTTTTCTGTTTTTGCATGCCTTCTTCAATGAAATTACTTGAACTTTCTGCCTTGGCGTTTTCCAGCAAATTCCTTCACACAGTTGGGGCCAGAGCTTCATATGCTTGTTACTAAGACTCTAAATAGTCTTCATAGTCTAGACTAAAGGCTGCGCACGTACAAGAGCTGGTATCAGAGCTGGTTTAAGGCGTGTTCTAGCGTTTTAAGGATAGGCGGAATTTACTAAGTATGACGGGCGATCATACTGAGGCGAGTTCGGGCTCCTCTGTGAGCATTGGAGGCTCAGAACTACAGGCCATCCTAACAGCGCTAGCACAAGCTAAATTGACGGCGAAGCCAATGATTGGGCTTAGCGAGGCCCAACGATTCCATGGAGAAAATTATAGCACGTGGCGACTCAAGTTCATTCGTAGAGCGGAGGAAGTGGATCTCTGGCCGTATTATCATCCCGACAAGGAAACGGGAGAGGGCGTCCCACCATCTGCAAAAGAAAAACCAGAAGAAAATGCGTCATTCAAAAAAAGGAGTAAGCAAGCTTTTTTCCAATTGTGTCATTCAGTTTCGGACAGCATTGCAGTGGGGCTGGATCAATTTGCTGGAGAGGAGAACTCTGCCGAACGAGCCTGGGAGTACATGGAAGCTGCTTACCTTGGACTTACGGATACCAACAAAGCCGCCATTCGGAAGAAACTTCTCCTATTGAATATGGAGCCGAGGGAGAGGGTCATTGACTACATAAATCGAGCAAAGGGGTACAATGACGACCTCAAGGCTATGGGGGCAGCTGAAACTGAAGGAGAAATGATGGGGTACATCATTAGTGGGCTGCCCAAGGAGTGGGAAGCAGAGATAGGGCTCCTAACCTGCAACCCACCCGCAAATATGACCAAGCTGTTGGAGACGCTCCAAGCTCTGGAGCGGGTGAAAGCTGATCGGCTCAGGAAGGAGGTTAGCTTGAATGGAATGGGACCAGCCACACATGCTATGGTAAACGCAGCAGCAACAGGGAAAGGATATGGAGGTTTCGGGGCGTGTTTTCAGTGTGGAAAGAAGGGTCATAAGCAGATAGACTGCTATGATAACCCAAGGAGCAGAAATTTCAAGGGGAAATGGAGCGGTCCGCAGCAGAAGGGGCTGCAGAACGGATGGCAGCAGAGAGAGGGGGAGGTTCGAGGTGATAACAAGATGCAGAGAGGCGGATTTTCAGGGGCATGTCACTATTGCCAGAAAATTGGGCATAGGGCAGCCAACTGCTACTCGAACCCCAACAGCAGGAACTACCAAGGAGCAAACCAGCAGCAAATCAAACCAGCAGCAGCAAAAACAAATGCAGTGGAAGCTGAAAACAGTGAAGCGGACGTCATCTTGGGAGGAGCTCACAAGGCAAACGTGGCAAGGGCATCGGGGGTGTGTTTGGTGGCAAAGGGGTTCGGTGAAGCAGCGTGGTTCATGGACAGTGGGTGCACTCAGCACATGACCAATCACTGCGAGTGGCTTACAAATCTGAGGGACTCCAACGTACCGTATGTGCTCTTGGGGGATGAAGGGAAGCTGATTGTGAAGGGGGAAGGAGAGTTGCTACTCCAAGGAGAGTACGGGGAGCTGAAGCTGGAAAATGTTCTCTTAGTGGAGAAGCTCTCACTGAATCTGATCAGCCAGTCTCAACTTGACAGCACGGGGTGCAAAACCTTCAGCGACAAAGGAAAGTTGTGGGTTTTCAATGAGGATTGGAAGGTGGTTGCAGAAGGGAACAGAAATCAGGGGTTGTATGAAATGAAGCTGAGGAAGAAGGGGCTGGAGGATGAGAATGCCACCTACCTGACATCACTCGAAGGGGACCTAGCTAGGGAGGAGTTGAAGGCTCGGCTTGGTGGCTTACCTGTGAAGGAGCTGCAGCAGGAAGCTTCTGCCATGGTGGTTGGGATGGAGCAGGTGGAATTGGAGACCTTGCACAGGCGCATGGGGCATGCAAGCATGGATAGGGTCAAGGAGTTGGTCAAAAAGGGCATGGTAAAAGGTGTGGCACTGAAGGAGGGGGCTGGAAGCAAGGGAAAATGCAGCAAGTGTGTTGAAGGTAAAATCACAAAGTCCCCTCACCCCCACCACCAGGTACATGAGCCTTATGGCACCTTGGACATCGTAGCAGCCGATGTGTGTGGGCCTATGAGGGTGGCGTCACGACACGGCAGCCGCTACTTCGTTACCTTCACTGATTTGGGAACGAGGCACACATGGGTGACGGAGCTGAAAGATAAGGCAGAAGTGTTTCCTAGCTTCGTGACTTGGATGGCGGAAGCGGAACGGCAAAGTGGGAAGGTGCTGAAAGTTTTAAGGACAGATAATGGAGGGGAGTTTACCGGTGAGCTGTTCAACAAGTTTTTACAGAGCAAGGGTATCCGACGGCAGCTGACTGTACCCTACACTCCACAGCATAACAGCATAGCGGAGCGAGTGAATCGGTCTCTACTAGACAGCGTGAGGAGCATGCTGGCCGACAGTGGGTTGCCGCTGAAATTTTGGGGTGATGCATTAGCTATGGCGTGCTGGTCCAAGAACCGGCTACCTACCAAGGGACTTCGGGCAGATATGACTCCCCACGAGGCCTTCTATGGCAGGAAGCCGAATCTGGGGTTCGCTCGGGTGTGGGGAAGTATGGTGCAATACAGGGAGCCAGCCGGTCCGGATCATAAGTTGCTGCCCAAGGCTCATTGGGGGATTAACCTCGGTACCTGCCCGGTGAGCAAGGGGTGGGTGATCAAGGATGTAATTTCAGGGAAGGTCATGATCACCCGGGATGTTGTCTTCTACGAGGAGGTGAACTACCTGCAGTGGAAGGGAGTAGAGAAAGAGATTGCAGCAGCAGGGACAGCAATTGCACCGGACAAGGTGGACGATCTTTTGGAAGAAAAGGAGAGTGAGGGAGTTGGTGATGAAGGAGATGAGGAACTCGAAGATGTGGAACGGGCAGATTCAGTTGATTGGGTGTGGGAGAAGGCACCAACCAGGGAAGCGGATGAAAGCAAGGTAGTGGAGATAGCAGGGGAGCAGCCAAGCAAAGAAGTAGCTGAGGATGGCATTGATGAAGTGGCTGAAGAAGAGGGAGATGAAGAATCAGCAGCTGAAGGAGATAGTGATCCTTGGAAGCTTCTAAACAGTGATGACAACAATGCCAAGATGAGGGAGATAGAGGAATTACTTGAGGAGGGCGCCATCGTGATTGGAAGGGAAGTGAAGAATGGGGAAGGGAAAGCACTGGCGGATTCCAGTGAGGATGAGGTCGAGTCACCTGCAGAGGAGTTGGGGAAAGGAAAGAGGGTGAAGAAACCAAACCCTCGGTATGCGCAACTGCTGATGACGTGCTGGAAGGACATCCATACCCACCTCCTACTCTCTGCCACAGCTACTGACCTAGTCTCCAATGAAGGAAAAGTGACACACAACCTGCCCAAAGAACCAGTGAGCATCGAGGAGGCGCTAGAGGGTCCAGAAAGGGAGCAGTGGAAAGCGGCAATTGAGGAGGAGTTGAACACATTGGCTGAAAGGGGCACATGGGAGCTCGTGCCTATGCCAGAAGGAAGGAAAGCCGTGGGGGTGAAGTGGATTTTTAAGATCAAGACCGGAGATATGGGGCAGCTGGAAAGGTTCAAAGCAAGGCTCGTAGCCAAGGGCTACACTCAGGTGGAGGGGAAAGACTACAACAAGAACGAAATCTATGCTCCAGTGAGCAAGTTGACAACGGCACGGGTCTTTCTCAAGGTGGTAGCATCAAGGAAATATTTCATGGTGCAGCTGGATATTAAAAACGCGTTTTTGTATGGGGTGCTGAAGGAGGACATCTACCTCGAGCAACCACCAGGGCATGACGATGGCTCGGGCAGAAAATGCAAGCTCAACAAGGCATTATATGGGCTGAAGCAAAGTCCTAGGGAGTGGTATATGGCGATGGATGAGCGGCTACTGCAAGGGGGATTTCAGAAAAGTGAGTGTGATAGGGCATTCTACTGGAAGGGAGAAGGGAAGGAGAAGGTGTTCTTGGTGCTATACGTGGACGACATCTTAGTGGCAGGGGCGTTAGAGGAGGAGGTAGAGAAGGTGTGCACTCACCTTGCGGAAGTGTTTCAAGTGAAGCAAATTCCACGGACCACACTCAGGACCTCCAGCGCCCGTAGGACCACCAGCTCCAGCAGCACGGCTCCAGCGGCGAGCAAACCACTCGCGCAGCTGCTGTGGAGAGAGTGGCTCCCGCCGGGACGAAGCACCTGAAGGACCTCCAGGCGCAGCACCTCCAGACTCCACACGCGCAGGCTCAGCACCCTCAGGCTCCGCACCCCCAGACTCAGCACCCCCAGGCTCAGCACCCCCAAACGCCGCACCCCCAGGCTCCGCACGCTCAGGCTCAGCACCCCCAGACCCGGCACCCGCAGGCTCAACACCCCTAGCAGCACCAGAGTCAACAACTACCTCGACAGGCTCGACTGCGTCTACCTGGGACACACCTGAGGGGGCAGGACCCTGAGGGGGGAGGGGGTCTACCGGGGGAGGACCTGGCGCGAGGAAGAGCGGCGGGTGGGGGAGGGGGGCAGTGCGGTAGGGGAAGAGACGGTAGTAAGGAACCGACTCGTCAAACGTGACGTCCTGAGAGGACAGAACACGGCGCGAGGTGGGGTGGTAAAACTGCTAGCCAGGCGCGTCAGGGGGGAAGCCAAGGAAGACGCAAGGAACAACACGGGAGGACACCTTGTCCGCAGAAAAGTCGCGGACGAAAGCTCGAGATCCCCAGACACGGAATGAAGACGCATCGCCAGTCTTCCCCGTCCACCGCAGAGTAGGTGTGGTCTCCGGCACGGAGACCCGGGGCTGGAGGTTGATCTGATGCGCCGCGTACTGAACCGCGAACGGCCACAGAAAATGGGGAGCAGCCGCATGGATCATGGACGTACGAGCGACGTCCATGACCATGCCAATGCGGCGCTCAGCAATCCCATTTTGCTGTGGAGAGGCCGGAAGCGTGAACGTCTGGCGGATGCCCTCCGCACGATAGAAGGCCTGCAGAAGGTCGGAGGAAAACTCTCCAGTTCTGTCGGAGTGCAGACGCAGAACAGGAAGGTCCGAGCCGAAACTCTCGCTGAGCTGATGACGGGCAGCGCGGATCCAGTCGATCAGCACCTCAGTGACCTCACCCTTGCGGCGCAAGGGGAAGACTGTGGTGTAACGCGAGTAGTCGTCAACGACAAGCAGAAAGTAGCGCTCGTGACCCTGTCCACGGATGCGGGCTGGGCCCCACACATCCATGTGAAGAGTCTGCAAGGGAGCCTCCGTGGGAGGAAACTCGGAGGAGTGAGGGGCGGCGCGCTGCCGCCCCTCGACGCAAGGAACGCAGGTAGGGGCAGGCCCCGAGGGGAGGGGAGGGAGAGACCGGGGAAGACCAGTGACAAGGACACGGGAGGCCATGCCTCGGAGACGAGGCAGGGAGGGGTGACCAAGGCGGTGGTGCCAGAGGAGAGTCTGGTGAGACAGGAGGCGACACGAGCAGGGGGCAGAGTCAGGACCAGACCGGGACGCTGCAGCAAACACCTGACCCGACGCAGCTACCTGACCAGACTCAGCAACCGGAGGAGACACGGTAGTCAGGGTGTACAGGCTAAACCCTAAACCGCCAGAGGAGTGTGCAAGGACACGGCAGGACCGTGGAGGAGTGTGCAAGGACCGGACCCCCAGAGGGGTCAGCCAAAGAGACTGCCACCGGCCGACTGAGTGGCGAGAGTGTGGTGCAGTCGCGAAAGAAGGAGCAGGAAGCACCCGAGTCAAGGGTGAAAGTGTGTAAGGCCTGAGCCGACGCGGTACCTGAGAGAGCAAACTCACCAGTACCTGGGGCAGCCGACTCACCAGCACCTGGAGCAGCAGACTCACTAGCACCTGTTACGATAAGAATGAATTGATAGAAAATGTGAAGTACAACCCTAGATATAGCAAACCCTAATCATGCAAGGAAGTAGAAATGTAACACCTAGACTAACCTAAACAACACATATAAAATATATGTTGACACACCCCCATAGTCTAGGTGACGGTAACCCCTCGGAAAGACAACACATATCTAAGGGTGGGTCTCAAGGACACACACAGTCTGAGAGCAAACAAGGGCCACATGACCAGTCAGCAAGAACAAGAACAAGCAAGGGTCACAAGACCAGTCCACAAGAACAAGACAAATCTCAGGGTGGAGCTCAAAGTCACCACACAGTCCGAGAGCAAGCAAAAGAGCCACAAGGCCAGTTCACATGCAGGTATATAGCAAATATATTGAGATGCAAGAATACAAGACAACAAGGACAAAGCATCTACGTAAGCAAGTGAGGACGGGCCCGCACAAGGCCAAGCTGGGTGCAGAAACGCTGGTGATCACAAGGCGGCACCGCCTTCGTGAAGATATCTGCAGTGTTGGCCTCAGAGACCACACGTCGTACGAGTGCCTGACCACGCTACTGCAACTCACGCAGAAGGAAATAACGAAGCTTGATGTGCTTCGCCTTCCCAACAAGTCGGAGCTCCTCACACAACAGGACGGCAGACCTGTTGTCGGCGAACAAGACTGGGGGAGAGCGAGGCCGCTCACCAAGGTCGGTGAGAAGGAAAGACAGCCAGCGAAGCTCCTGAGCGGCCATGGCCGCAGCGTACACCTCTGCCTCACAGCTGGAACCGGCGACGGACGACGCCCGAGTCGACCGCCACGAAACAGCACCTGCCCCGAGCCTAAAGGAGTACCCCTGTGTAGACCGACGCGTCTCCGCGTCGTCGGCCCACGACGAGTCCGAGTAACCTGTAAGTGTAACTGGCTGCTTCCCTCCAAGGACAAGTCCCATGCCTGATGTACTCGCCACATACTTCGCCACCCTCTTAGCAGCGTACCAGTGGGACGGTCGGTGTCTCCCAGGCGCAACAAAGCGCGCAAGGACGCTAAGAGGGTAAGCTAGGTCTGGGCGAGTACAGGTCATCAGGTACATGAGACAACCCACCAGCTCAGGATATGGACCACTGGACTCAAATGACTCATCCGAAGGTGGAGCCGTGAGCCCATGATCCACACCAAGAGGGGTGAGCTGTACCTTGGAGAACGGGAAGCGAAACCGCGTGAGGATCTGCTCGACCATATGCGACTGAGTCAGCGTAATGGTGCGAGCTGCCCTGTCCCTGGTGATCTGCAGGCCAAGGTAGTGCTGCAGCTCACCAAGGTCAGTACAAGTGTGTCTCCTCTGCAGTTCCTCCTTCACGGAGGCCAGCGCGCGTCGGTCGGGAGTGGCGAACACCAGGTCGTCGACGTAGACCAGGACAAAGAACGGGGTCGAGCCATGGCGAACGAACAGTGACGGGTCAGCAGACGACGGAAAGAAGTCAAGCGCTGCAAGGGTCGAGCGAAGTGTGTCGTGCCACTCACGTGGAGCCTGACGCAGGCCGTAGACTGGTCGACGCAGCTGCCACTGGGTCCCGGGTGGGAAAGAGCCAGTGAAGCCAGGCGGGCGACGCAGCCAGATCTGCTCGTGCAGGCTCCCCTGAAGGAACGCGGTGGAGAAGTCCAAGGAGTGCAACTCGTAGTCGCGCTGGGCTGCAATATGCAGCAACACCCGAAGAGTACTCATCTTCGGGGTGGGAGCAAAGGTCTGGAAGAAGTCCACCCCCTCTCGCTGACTGAAGCCTCTCGCCACATAGCGCGCCTTGAACACAGGTGGTGATCCAGGCGGCCGCTTCACCTTGTAGAGCCATCGGCCACTGACGACGTTCGTCCCAGGTGGTGGGACTGCGTCGACGTAAGTGCCTGTGGACCTATAAGATGCCATCTCTGCCTCCTCAGCTGCTATCCAGTACGAAGCCCAGGGTCCCGAGACCGCCACGGCGTGAGTGCGAGGGATCGGGATGTCAAGAGCGTCTGGATCCCCCTCAGGGGCAAGCAACATGGCGCAGAGATGAGGAACAGCGGCCGCAAGAAAACCAAGCTCGAACTGCCTGTCCTCGAGGACCTCTAGGGGAAAAACAGGAGCACCCCTAGAGAACGGAGAACGAGCAGGGCCACTCACCAAGTGAGCGGCATAGTCAAGGCGGTGGGAAGAGGCAAAGCCAGCGACAGTGGTAACAAGTGCCGAAACAGACGACAGAGGTGCAGTCGGGTGAGTGACCAACGCGGACAAAACACGGGAGACGACAAGACGGGAGGCACGGAGGTAGTCGAACAACGGGTCGTGAAGCACAGTGAGGAACGACTCAAGGGGCTGTGGAAGGACAGGAGGAGGTGGAACACGAGAGCGAAGAACAAGGTGGAACGGACCGTCTGCACGGTAACAGGACCGACGACGCTCTGGGGACACAGCACGACTGAGGGGAGAACGACGAGTCCACTGGGACGAGGAAAGGGACTCA